TTAGCAACATTGCAATGGTAGTGGTTCCTTTTTGCAGAATGCAATCCAATTATTTCACTAGTATATATTCTAGTTGAATTCCTCCTCCTGTTTGAGAAAAAGCCCGTACGGCGCGCGGCGTAGCAAAAAGGTTGGTCTGACTGACTGGCAAAGGTTTAACGAACCCTGAGAAGAGCTAATGCGGTGCGGATGAGGTCATGAGTTCGTCTCAGAGTGTATATATCACAAGCAATTAGCAATCGCTGGCATTTTGCAAACCAGAGGGGTGCATAAGACGCGTTTACTCGTGTTGAACACATTTTTTGCGAAAGCCCTGTCAACACTACTAGCAAAAGGTCACGGAACTTTGCGCGAAAGTCAAGTTTCGTAAACCTATCTCTAATGAACAAGGCCCTCCATTCATGAGAAATGAACGAAAAAATTATGAAAGAACAAACACAAAATTTGGTTTAATAAAACTTCCGCCGCCGCGCCGCGCCGACCGCATCGTGTTTGGCGCAATGCTTGAAGTATTCACGCAGTCTTGTAGGCGCTATCCGTTTCACGCTGACCGCACTGTGTTTGGCGCAATGCGTGAAGTATTCATGCATTCTTTTAGGTGCTATCCGTTCCTTGCTGACCACAATAACCGCCATGTGTTTGATGCAATGCGTGAAGTATTCGTGCAGTCTTGTAGGCGCTAACATGTGTTACATGCCGATTGCCGCGCCGAGAGCTTCTCCTTTTCATCTCAAGTCCTCGTCATCATTTTTCCCTAAGTCGCGCCGTCCCAGGCCGAATTGTGTGTTTGGTTTCTCTCTTAACTCGACTAATGAAAGGTGCTGTCTCTTGTATCTCTGAAAGACGACAAAATTAGAAATTACTAAACTTTCAGGAAATAAGAGATTTTGTAGCCTTTTCTCATTTGTAATTTTTTTTTTCTAAATCCGATTTTTTTTTATACCTACATTTAAAAAAATCGCAAAATTTGCCGCCATGGGCCGCGGCCCATGTGGCCATCCCCTTAATCCGGCCCTAGGTCTTACCCAGACTTTTCATCCCTCCCACCTCCTACTTCAGATTTCCTATTTTTCTCACATCACGCCCTATTTTAAAAACGTCTGTCAGGATGTCATTCTTGGACGGCTCCTAAGAATCGTTTTTACTAATTAAAAAAAAACAGACGTAAAACACACTCAGAGCGACACTCATGACCAACCCATTACATGCGCTTAATGAACTCTAAAATCAATAAATGAACCATTTTGTTAACTATAATAACTAGGCAGACTAATGCTCCGTTTTTAATTTTTATGACAGTTTCACACAATGTTTGTCAACCTACTTACTTATTCCTAATCGCAATTTAATCACGCTTGCTATACATGCTAACCTCAATTTTTTAGGCATGTGTTCATTTGTGAACTCTTAAGAGGTCTCACTACTATCAAGCCTCAAGTTGTATCAGCCCACCTTCCGCAATTCACACATGCTTATGTCTTATCTCATTTACATACCTCTTTACAAATGGCTCGACCGTTTTTTCCCCCTTAGGTCTCATTCAGTATCTTTCCCATTTAGTTTGAAACTAATTGGGAATATATTGATATTCACTGTCAATCATAAATAGATAGGTGTTTTTACTTCGATGCATGCAATATCAACCTGGAATCAGTGTTTCGCAAAAAATAGTCTAAAAGTTGAATTTCAAAGAGGACCATTGATTCGTTGAGGACACTGAACTACTCAAGATGAAATTTTGCTCTCGCGGCAGATTTTAAAATGTCTCTTAGAGGGGTTGCGTCATACGGTGTTTTTAGAGCGAATTTTTCCTTGAAAAGCTCGCACAAGCTCCGAAAATTAAAGAAAGGGACCAACATTTTTATTTGTAAACTGTAACTACTGTCTGCTCTGTGTTAAAAGTACTTGTTGATACCTCGTTTAAGAGTTGATGTCTTTACATTCCGTTGTGTGGCTCATTTTTATGTAAGCTTTCAAAGAGCACTGGAAAAAAGTCTCTTGAATCCAGAGTCCAGACTCTTAAAAAATTTAACACGAAAAATTCTCTTGATTCGGTCAAATTTTTGGTTGCATCCAAAGGAAATTTGCTTGAATTAAGAGTCGTGGTCCTCGATTCAAGCAAAAATCCGCTTAAATCAAGAGTATTTTTTCTTGTCAAATTTTTTAAGAGTCTGGACTCTGGAACCAAGAGATTTTTTTCGAGCGAGGAAAATCTCTAATTCAAGGTTTTTCCAGCGGCCATTTTTTCTTTAAATCTTCAAATATCCCACGAGGGATAATCGTGCGCTTTACCGTCTGACGCACATAGGCGTTTTTTTCTCAATCTAGCTGAAACCCCCTGTCTAGCAGCTCATTGCCACTGTTTTGTTCACCTGCTGTCGGAATAGCACTCCCACGCTTCACGTACGTTTAATGGTATGGCGTGATTTGCGATGTATCGATTGTATGCCATTCAAATCCATGAAAAAACATCAATTATCAGGGCGTTCGCAACGAAAACCATAATAATCAATTTTTCACCATAGCATCAAATGGGATGCTATCGATATAGGGATTGTTGTTTCAGGAAGACGGTCACATTTCCCTCTCGTTAGTCCGGAAAAAATAGATTTTCCGGAAAAAAGATCGATTATTATATCAGGGCGTTCGCAACCACCACCATATAAATCGATTCTTCACCATAGCATCAAATGGGATAATATCGATACGGCTTGTTGTTTCAGGAAAACGGTCGTATTTCCCTCTCGTTAGTCCGAAAAAACAAGAAAACAGATTTGTTGAGCTCTCTGCCTCATTTGGGAGAGCCCCCCCCCCCCCCGCGGGAGGAGTGCGGGTGGAGCGCAATCATAAAAGCTGTCAGCATGATCTACAGCAAACAATCATAATCAGCTTACCGGCGCGGCGTGACGTAGCAAATGGACGGATTTCTGTCTAACGGAACTATGCGCATTAAGACATGAGCCCTGAGACCCATAAGAGTATATGCGTAACAGGGCTCACGCTATAATGCACTTAGTTCCGTCTGGTAGAAATACGTGCAAATATGAGAATGACGGATGCGGTAGAGACGAACGCCCGTCGGACGAGTTCGAAAGCTGGATTTGAATCTGTTCGCTGCGAAAAGCTCCCGAAAAGCTTTCTCAGCGCGTCTGACCCATATTGAGCGTAAACAACCCGCATGTCTATTACATCGTAGCAGGTACCTGGAGTTGAGTCCCTTCACGCCGCCATTCGCGGATTCAGCAACTTGGCAACACTGTTTTTCTCCGTTTAAACGTATAGAAATATATCGATTCTTGGAGGGGCCAGGTGCTCCGACAAGAATCGACTATTTAACATAGGTTTAAATGGTGAGAATACAGTGTTGCCAAATTGCTGGATCCGCGAAATTTCCTCCGTTAAAACGGAAATTCCCTGGTAAATTTATGAATACCTACTTTTCTCCCAATTGTTCAGATAATTTTGTTTCCTAATTTCACATGAAGCTCCTGCAAATTTAAAAAAAAAAAAAAGTATCCATAACTTTCCTTAAAAACAAGCATTTTATTGAAAGAAATTTGGCAGCGCTCAAAAGTTCATACGGCGTTCTTCCTCTAGCACGGCAATACTCTTTTCCGTAATAACGCGGCAGTTTTCACCTGTCTTGATGAAAGCAGCAATTCCATGTGTGCGTGAGCCACGATTGGCATTTGCTCAAATGCGCTGCGGGGCTCACTCCAGATTGAAGATGCTGCTCTTTTCCGTTGCCCGGCAGCGCGTTGAGGCAGTATGTGCGTCAGGAAGGTCACGCCATTCGATCCCAGGTCGAGCTCAGCGGTTCCCGTCCGACGTCACACGTCAACTCCCGGTCGCACGCGAAACTCAACGTTGGCGCATCCACGTCAGGCACCGAAGCTCAGCGTGGACTTTGGGGTATTTCTGGGTACCCTTTTTCACACATTTGAACATGTGCGCTGAGCGAATCTGCTGCGCGTATCTTTACGTCGTTAATATATTCTCAATTTTGAAAACCGCGTCTCGATGCAGAAAATCAGACGTCGAAGCAAAATTTGCTCTGAAAAACTAAAAACTCAGTTGCACACATTTGACTGAGTTTGTGTGCTAAAAAACGGCCTAAAACTGCAAAAACACCCGAAAATTTTGTGCTCTGAAATAGTCTAAAAGTGAATTCTTTTTCACTGAGCTCTTCCAAATTTTTCTTGTGCAGTTTTGTTGTTAGAAAAAATGTTTCTACAAATCTGGGTGTTTCCTTGGAAATTTTAAACCAACTAGTGTGACACACGCATACCCTCACCACCACCCTCACACACAAAAAAACCATACAAATTAGAATATCACTAGGTGTTGCTCCTCTGACGTAAGAGTGTAACTCTATTTTGGGATGAGCCCTATTAGCCATAAAACCTCTCGCTTTCTAGGGCTCACGGGAAAACGCCCGAGGAGCCAAGTCGTAAGATGTCAGATAGAGAGTAAGGTGCATTACAAATTTTTCGGGCTGAGTAGACCAACTCATGGACAGTTGAAGGCATAGATCGTAACGTTCGCAAAAAAAATTAATCGCCCATTGCTATAAGTGTTTCTCTGTTAACGTTGCCCGGAATAGTAAATTTAACCCGGGAAACTTTCCCAATAGAATAGAAATATTCCCTTAGATCCCTAGATCCAACGGGGGAAGAGACGCAAATTTTTTTTGAATTTTTCGGACTGGGCAGACCAACTTCTGGACTTATGGACAGTTTAAAGCATTGGACGTAACGTCCGCGACAAAAATAATTGCCCATAGATATGCGTTTCTCTGCTATCGTTTTCCGGGATAATTTCCCGCAAGAGAATGGAAATATTCCCTTAGATCCCTAGATCCAACGGGGGAAGAGGCGCAACGGCACCCCGCACCGACGCGCGCCGGCGCTATTTTCCAGTTCGCACATGGCGTCGCGGCGCGTCTCGACGCGCGCCAGCTGTTAAAACACAGTAGCGTCCGTTACGTCACCAGTGTCGCAGGTACGCTTTTTTTACGCCAGTGCGTGCTTATCAGGAGCCCCCGGCCGCACGTCGACGACGGCCGACGCTTCAGTTCGCGACTTGACGCCCGCCCTGGTCGCATCGCGCCGCCTCGCTCAGACGGAGCCGACGAGTTGTAACGGCCCGAAATAGCTCAGAATTTTTTAAAAGTTATTTTCTAGTTTTTTTGTACCCCTTTTGTATAGTTATTTTGTATCCCGGTTCACCGTTTGTACGGATTTCCTACCCGTAGTGTTACGTGTGATATTTACAATATTGTTCTGTAAAGGAATCGTACTGCTTTTAAGAAGCTAACACCGTGTGGATTTTACCGACTGATTTTGTAAGTGGCTTTTTTGGTTTTTTTTCCTACTTTGTTAAAAATAATCATATTCTTTTTCTATATTGAAGACAAGACGAGTTGATCGATTCATAAATCGTGTCAAACAAGACTCCAACTTAAGGGCAATAATTGAGGCAATTCAGTGTCAATTGAAGGTATTAATGCTGTTCAGAAGAATACAACCATAAATCAAAAGGAACGATTTAGCACACAAATCCACAGCACATAGCCACTTTTGATATTATAGGTAATTAATTTGCGCATACTGTCAGCGCCGATGTACAATTTCATTTTAGAATCAATTAGACTCCCTTGAAGTAAAGTCAAATGAAATTTCAGGTATATTCCGCATTCAGGAACCACTATTTTTCACATATATAAAAAAGAGCATATCCGCAAATGGAAACCAATTGCACGTCTGTTGTTTTTTAAGTGAGCCGGAGATAGTAGTTTCTCATTGTAATATGTAGGTCATTTCGTCAAATTTGACTCGAAAGTAGAATCAAAATCGTCTCGATCTCGTCTTCAATAAAGGAACAGGATATTATAGTTTTAACAAGGTTTTGACTTTTTGCTCCGCACCGAGGTTTTTGCAGTGCAGCCTTCTTCCTTCACGTAAAACCAAAAATATTTCGGCGGTCTTAGGTCAACATTAGCACAAAGTTCCAGATTTTTTTAGATCGTGTCAATATTGAGCCAGCGCTAACAGGGTAACATAATGTTAGTATACATTGTTGGTGTCCTTTTAAGCGTTGAAGTGCCTTGAAAAATCTTGTCACACTATCGATTTAGTTTGAAAAAATGTCGGTCGTATGAGGACATCAGTGGAAGAGAAAATAACCACCGATTTTTATCTAACGATTGTTTTCTTAAAATATGCAGTTGTGGCGAGTTCCCAACATCAAGTCCCAATGCTGCTTGAAAAAAGCAAAGTGAAACGGCCAAAACATTCTGATGATGTGGAGTCTAGTTTTGTTTGGTACCCAAGACCAAAGTATTCGGTCAGTCCGATCGAATTATTCGGTCGAACCAACGGAATTCCTGAAATCTGGTGCAGCATGATCGAACAGTTTTAATGAGCATATCAAATGATTCGGTTGTGTCCACAAGACAAAATTAGGTTCCACATCATCCAAACACATAGGTTATACCTAAAATTTGTCTTTAGTGCGTGAGTTTATTTGGAAACCATCCTTGTACACTTTGATTCGTCAAATAATTTAATAAGTTGGAACTCCTTTTAGCCCAACTTTTATTACAGAGAAATTTTTGTGATACATAGGTGCAATGTAATTTTTTATGCAAATTTGCGAAATGAGGTTTCGAGGGTAATTTAGGCCATAAAATGCAGAGACATTGAGCCAAACCTCAGTTTCCGAACGGATTTATTTTTCCATCACTTACTAAGATAATAGTACATACACTGAAAAAAAAAGTTCGGTCATATGAACCGAAAGTTCGGTTTGACAAACAGAATAGTTGGAATAATATGGAACTCCGAACATCCAATTTACTTGACAGAACTTTTTTTTCAGTGCACCTCCTAACCTTAGTGCTATATATTTTCGATATATTTTCGACAAGTATAGCGCGATGTTGAACGAAATTGATTCAAAGTCCAATTTTGTTGGCTGATCGGGTCACGAATGAGTTCATCGATACGTCTGAGACGGAACGGAGGTTTTGCCTTGAGTCACCCTTATCAGAGGTTTTCTCTAACTCTTTACTATCAAATGAACCGATTTCCTTGCATTCGTGAACTTTCCAATGAATGAGGTAATAGAGTAAATCAATGTGAATAAACCTCGAAAATGGTTACACGTTGTTGCTGTGTTCACAAAAGAAAAACAAAAAATCCAGTGGCGGGAAGCTCTCTCCACCCATACCCTCTCCACTGCCCAGAATAATAAATTAATGCTGTTTGGTCCATTTTTGTGGCAAAGTTCTTGCAGAATAATTACTTCTTTCGCAAAATGTAGTCCATTTGTACTGAGAAAAATTCTGTCACACGCAAAACTGTTGTTGTGACGTCTTTTAGCAGAATACTGTCTCCTTTTCCAATCTAATTTCCCCCGAAGTCCCACTAGAAAAATATTGGGGAAAAGTACTGTGAGCTCATTAGACACTCTCATATAGAACTGGAAAAGTGTTTCATGCAAATAATCCTGTGCTGAAATTAATGAACACGACTTCATAGAAGGAGAATTTCTGCGACGAAGTTTCCGTGCGAATACAAAGTTCTGTTTGTTCTTTCTCAGAATTTTAATGAGAGAGTATTTTTGCATAAAGCTCTATCCCGCATTGGAAATCTCGGATTGACGGGTAGAGTGATCAGTGTGGAACAAATTGCATTACACCTGACAACGATTCTATGTAAAAAATGAAAACTATAAAAGGAGATGAAAGAAAAGGTTGACCTTTTCACCTTTAATTTGCGTCCCTCACTTAAAGAATCACAAAAAACGTCTCAGTTGCGTTGTGTTGTATTACACAAAATTCTACAGAAAATATCCAAAATTATGAATTTTGCACGGTCAAGCCCGAAAGTCAAGCGAAAGGAGATCTAGACCTACGATGAAAAATGAAAAAAAAAAAAATTATAGAAATCAACAGCATGATTGGCTGTCCCATGCAGGGGCCCTTGCTCCCTTAAAAGTTGTGATTGCACGTAGGTGCTGAATACCAGAGGACCCTAGTGAAGTGTAAATGGACCCTTGGACCCCCTATCTTTAGACACGCTAATTTCATTCGATAGGGTGGTTGATTCTCAACTCCAACCTCAAAGGGACTATCAAATATCTTTAAAAGCTTCCTCCCCTAGAAGCCTGACCTAATTACTGGACGTCCTTCATTCTCTTGTAACAATACTCCTGCAATTTTCGCTTCCTGCATTTGGATTTTCTAAGCTTGAGAACAAGGCCGTCAATTTATCAAATCAGGGCGATGATATAGATGTGCCGCACAGTAGTGGATCGAGCCAATTAGATAGGTCGGACATGACATACATTTGACTGAAACTGCAAATTTTGATGTTTATTTCGTCACATATTAAATTTCAAGGGGTGCCTCTGGAAGAAAATTTTATAAGGAAACCAATAGGACCACTTTTGTAACCTCAATGTTTTGTATAAACGGAGTTATAAGCATTTTAAAGTTTCCAAATTTTGTCCGACCTATCCTATTGACTCGATCTACTGTGCGCCGGGTGCTACCAAATCGCACTCCTAGCAGTGAAATTTCAGTTTTTTCTGGGTGCTTAAGTGAGACATCAAGAGGAAGGAGACACTTTTGCAGATGAACCCGGCGCATCCATAATGTGCAAGTGTCGTCGGTGGTAAAAAAAATTTATAGCCTCGAGTGAAATCGAGTCTGATGTGAGCGAACATAAAATGAGCAGCTGTGACGTCCGTTCAATGTCGGATACGCCTATGCAACAGAAAGGCGCGTGTTTTATTGTGGATACATTTTTGATACCTCATGTCGGAGGACATGTAACATAGTCATGAGAGAGGGATTACAGGTAACAGGGAGCCAGATACCGAAAAAACGCGAATTTCGTTCGTTTATTCTTGAAAAAACAATTGTACTGCGTTCCTATCAATTTAGAAATTTTCATTCTCAAACTTTGAACCGCACTGTTTAAGGTGTCAATTTTCGAAAAATTGTTGTTTTTTAAAGCAAAATTGTGCACAGTTAGTATCTTTATGCTGTCTTGCCAAGGAAAACGCTGTAAAGTTTTTCGAATGTTGCCGAAATCCCCCATATAAGAAGTTTTCTTTCGAATGAAGTTATGAAATAATTTTCCTGAAAATTTAGCGGATACGCTGAATGATATCACGAGTAATATACTGAGTATATCCAGCTGTTTTTCAGAAAATTCGCATTTTATCGGCCAAATTTGAAAAATGCCCAAGATTCTATCTAATTTTTGTCCTCAGTAAGACCGAATAAAGTAATCTGCGGAGAGAACTTCAGATCCCCTGTAGACGTATGGCGTTTTCGATAAAACTAAAGATTTGGAATCATTTTATTGTTAATATGGACGTATTTATGCTAAAAGGAACTATGTGCATAGGGTTTGCGTGTAACATAGTTCCTTTTAGCATCAATAGGTCCATATGACTGATGGTTTTACTGCAATTTTGGTTAATCTGCAAAAATAAGTTCTGATCCGTCCTTAGGTGGGAGGATGTTCAATGTCACAATGACTTTTCAAATGCCAAACAGTAACATTTCGATTGGGGTTATTTATAATCTAATATTAATATTGTATCCTTCAATCATGAATAACTCGGGTGGCGGTCAATGAGCCGCTATGCTTAGTAAACGTCGAAAGGTATGCCTTAGCTTTCTTTCCATTTTCACTTGACCATCGAATACACTCATACCATTTGATCACATCGTGCATTTTAAAATATCATTCGGAATGTCGTCCTTGCTGATGTTTTCTAAACTTATTTTATGGCACCATGACAATCATTTGATTCATTGTCCCCGATGCATTCCTCCCCCTCCTTATCGAAGTCATTTTTGAAGATTATTTTATTTTGGGATGTGACTGCAGCCTGCAAGTATTCGTTGCAACTTAGTTGAGCGGCAGGCTGCAATATCGTATCCTATTTCATTTGGCACGATAATGAGGTGTTCGACACCATGCCACTTTTTCATTCGTGTTGGGTGTTGTCAGAATGGAATGACAACATGGTCATAATTCATTCGAGAGTGTGTTCCGACGATTGTTTATTGGTTTATTTCAAAAGCGACGCATTTGATATCGATTCCCACTCAAATCGCTGCTTTTAGAAAGAGGAGTACCAAATCATTTGACTTACTTCAAAGGCATCTGCTATGGATTTTTCTGGGTAAAAGTTGTGTGGACATGGCTTTTGTACGTCCCCTCCCCTCAATCACCTCTTGTGATTCCGTTTTGAAAGTCACAACCGTGGAAGTGAAACGTTATTCATTAATTTTTTGAATTGGAATTCTTTGATTGTATTTTA